GAAGAAGTGTTTAATCTCCAGAATTGATGTGATTTTATCTTCAGGAGCTCTCAAAACCTGAGCCTAAATGTGACTGTGATTTCAAAGACCGCTTGTTAGACCATCGTCAGTACCGGTGTGGGTTTTCAGATGGATTACGTCTTCAAACTGGCCCCATTCCATAAAAGCCTCTCAATGGATAGGCCAGAGCAATGAGTACAACCAAAATGCCAACCGCTGGCTGAATTGTCAAAAAGCAAAAAGTATGGCGAGTGTGCGTCAGGGGTGGACCAAAACAATAATTCATCCCAGCTTAATTTTCTCTGTCCAAATGGCCTGTGTGTGTGTGTGTGTGTGTGTGTGTGTGTGTGTGTGTGTGTGTGTGTGTGTGTGTGTGTGTGTGTGTGTGTGTGTGTGTGTGTGTGTGTGTGTGTGTGTGTGTGTGTGTGTGTGTATTTGCTTTTGTTAACACTCATTTCCCCCTCACCAGCATCCAGCAGACATACCCCACCCACAGCAACTTGGCTTAGCCGAAAAGGACACTTATTGCTTTAGAACAAAGACAAAATGAACTTATTTGATATAGTTCAGTTTGCTGTTGAGGTGAACACCCAGGTTGTTTCTGCCACCTCAGTGTCTGCACCCTGTTTGTTTACTGGTGAGTGAGGAGGAGTGATTCTCTGGAAGTAAATCAACATTTCTTTTGTCTTACTGGTGTTTAATTTTCAGATCGATTTAGAGTCAGCACATGTCACATCGCGATGCATCAATTAAATGGTGAATCGGCACACCCCTAGGGGAGATGGAGCAGTGCAGACACCCGCTGATTACTGTAATGCACTCATGGACCACTAGGGGTACGCATACCCCTGGTTGGGAATCACTGTTCTAAAGTGTCAAACAAGGTTCAAGGATATTTTTGATTCTGTATCCGTATCTAATTTGAATGCTTCCAAAAAGGGCTGTGGTTTATTTTCTGTTCTATTTACCTCAACTACAGAGGTTTAATAATAATAATACATGTTATTTAAAAGTGCCTTTCAAGACTCACAAGGTCACTGAACACAGAACAAAGACACAAGTAGCACAATTTATAATGAATATAAACAAATCAATTAGAGATGGGCTACTTCATATCATTCATAATATTACCTTTAACTATTTCCAAGGAAAAACATCATGAGATGTTTATTTCATGATACGGTGAAACTGGAAAAATTAGAATATGTTGCAAAAGTGAATTTTTGTCAGTAATCCAACTCAGCTTGAGAGATCATCTAAAGGCTCAGGAACCCTTTGCAGGATGTGGGGTTTTCATCAGCTGTAAGCCATAATCATCACAATTATAACAAATAAAGACTTGAAGTACTCTGTATCTGGATTTGCATGGAATGAGTCCATCTTATTTATTAGTTTCACTTTTTAAGTTGAATTGCTGACATAAATGGATTTTCAAACCATATTTAAATTATTTGAGGTTCACTTCAATCAACTACATAGATCAGGGGTATTAAATTCCAAGCCTGGAGGGCCGGTATCCAGCATGTTTTAAATGTAACTCTGTTTCAGCACACCTGATTTCAATCAGCAGGTAATTAACAGGCTTCTGCAGAGCCTGATTATCAAAACTCGTCGCTGTCGCTTTAATAACCACAGGACACATGAGAGGCGACATGCAGCAGCGGCACAAGCTAGCAATGCGCTCTGTTCCAGGGTGACTAGCCAGTCTTCTGCTGTTTTGATTGGCCGTCAGATTGGAGGGAATGTTGGTTATTAAAGCAGTTCAGAGTAATATAATACACAGATGCCTTTTATTCAGGTTTGCTATTACACTAGATAACCTTACAAAAATGTTTGCATCTATAAAGTAAACTTATCTTTGAGGCAACGGTGGTACAGGAGTTAAGTGCTCGCCTTATAATCAGAAGGTTGCAGGTTCGAGCCCCGCTCAGTCTGTTGTTGTGTCCTTGGGCAAGACACTTAACCCACCTTTCCTGCTAGTGATGGTCAGAGGGACCGGTGGCACCTGTGTATGGCAGACTCGCCTCTGTCAGTGCGCACCAGGTCAGCTGTGGCTGAAATGTAGCTAATCACCACCAAAGTGTGAATGGGTGAATGACCTTGGGAGATTCTAAGACTCTAGAAGGCTCTGTATCAAATACAGGTCATTTACCATTTATCTGATGTATTGATGACAATTTCCCATGTCGATGCCTTTTTGTGAAGATCTCTACATTCTTTTGTAGACATGTTGTGAAGCTCTGGGAAATCCAACACGACATTTACACAAGTATTAATTTTTCCTCCATGTTTGCCCAGAGATGTACTGAAAAGCATCCTGTCCGCTCATTGGTCAGTCAATCAAATCAAATCACTTTTATTGTCACGTCACATGTGCAGGTACACTGGTACAGTACATGCGAGTGAAATTCTTGTGTGCAAGCTTCACTGCAACAGAGTTGTGAAATGTCCACTGATTGGTCATTATCTGAGTGACAGCGATGAAAAGTTTTAATTTTCTCAACTTTCTGGGATTGACTCGCTGGTTCACCTGTGCACGACACATGTAAGAGCGCAAAATTTCGCATGCACATTTTTTGCATGTCGCTTAGGAGGGAGAACGGTGATTATCGCTTTTCCTCGCATGTCTCATTGTAATTGAATGGAGGGGAGGCGATGTCGCCTCCCGTGTGTTGAGCCCATTACACGGGGGGTTCGGCCTCTCTATTCAAACAAACAGGAAAAACAAAACACGGGATGTCCTGGTGAAAAGGCTCACTCAAACACAAACAAACCTCCCCAACAAAATTACCCCTGTAAGTTTTGTCAGTCGACAATCGACTGAAGCCATAAGAATAGATTTGATGACAGTCAGAGACAGAGAAGAAGCAAGCTAATTTAGCAACTACTCTTGTAATTCACATGTTATTTATATTAATATAAATGTTATTGGGTCATGTCCAGTCCTATTACATTAGCTATGAATTCAGGTTTCTACTCCTTCAGTCAGTTGAGCTCAGGGAGATTTAATTATCTATTGAGAATAAGACATGTTTGCTCTTGAAGAAGTTATCCCTTTTCCCCTGAAGTGAATCAGCCACACAAGAAGATTAACAAAGTCAGGTGAGTTAAAGCTCTAATAGAGAGGATAACATCCATCACTGATTGGCTCTTCAGTTGAGCCAAGAAAAGGCATAAAGAAAGCATGAAGTCAGCTCCCCCATGGACACGCTTATGAGAGGAGCTCACTAATGGCTCACGAGGGTGGACTGTTTTCATCACTCAACCTAATTGACATCTTTGAATCTCTTGCTTAAAGTAGAGGAACAATTTATCAAACCCATTGATTTTTCTCTGTGAAGATGGGATGGAGGTGGATTTTGAAGCTCAACAGCTCAATTAACAAGATTGTGGTGACATCACAGCTGTAAACAGAAATGTTTACTTTTATGTTAAGTTCCAAGTTTTTTATGTGTCACCAAAAGTTTGCCTGACTTCCAAAGAACTCGAGATTACTGTATACATCACTAGTGCAGCTTTGAGGCCAGTTTTACTTCATCAGTTAAGTCAGAGACTGCCAAGGAGCTACTCTTTAGTCTCAAACCCTTTTCTTTTTTCTTTATTCACTTGATACAGTTACTATTTAAAAAACTGTATTCTTCGCCCACAACTTAGTAATTATGACAAAAGACTTACACTTGTATTGCCTAGCGCTTTTCTGGGTCAGAGGACTCCAAAGCGCTTTACACTACAGTATCATCTACCATTCACACACACATTCACACATTGGTGATGATGAACCACTGCTGCCCTGGGGTGCACTGACGAGGCTTCCAAGCACAGGCGCCATCAGTCCCTCCGACCACCACCAGCAGGCTGGGAGGGTTAAGTGTCTTGCCCAATGACACAACAGCTGAGTTCTCTGTTGGAAGCTGGGATCAAACCTGCAACCGTCCGATTACTGGACAACCGGCTCTACCTCCTGAGCAAATGCTGCCCCAAATAATCAGCTCCTCTCTATCATGGCCAAGAGGCAAGCGTGACAAGCATGCAGGCCACTGGAGGCAAAGATAAGCACTGTGATTGGTGTTCAACACTGACTGCATCCAGTGTAAATGTTCACAACGCTCAATAACACTAATTCAGCATGAATTTTAAGGGGTATTGACTTGTGAGGATTCACAAGGGGGTGCAAATGTGCAATCTAAGGCTAAAAGGACAGGGATCTAAAGACAGAAGATTAGATGTTAGTCAGAGAGGACAAAGACAGTCTAAGGACACTGTTAAGAGGGTTTTTAAGCACCCATTCTCAAGCACAGCAGGCATTATCATGCTTGACAAATAATGGTCTTATAAAAAGTCACCTCTACTGTTTCTACTTAAAATTATTTTAACAAATGTAATTCACATAGCATCAGGGGAATACAGAAAAGAAAGTATTGGTTGTCAGTAGTAAAGTGTAGCATTCAAGGGCAAAAATCCCCAAAATTATGTAAAAGTAATGATAGACCATTGGTGGCATCAAGGTTTATAAAATAACTTACTTGAAACACTGTAAAAACTAGGAGAACAGAACTGTTTAAAGATGAGGGTATGAATCCTACTGTTAATCTTACTGTGGTCCAAAGAAAAGACCTATCAGACCTATCAGACCTATCAGACTACACTGATACTGATTAAGGAAACACCAAGTTCTGTCCTGGCCCAGATATTAGCCACCCACCATGTTTTATAGATAATAATAGTTCATTGCAAAGTTTTTATCTGTCTACAAACATATTTTCCTCTCCACTCAGTAAAATTCCAATAAACTTTAATATCTGAGGATTGCCTCCATTTGCATGGTTTGTTTTAAGACTTCTGTTATCTCCTGGTTGGTTTACATGGCCTCTGTGATTTTTATTTGCATTCTTCCTCCAAGTGCACAGATGAAAGTGTTTTCTGAAATCCTGCAACATGTGAATTTATCATTTTTTAATTTCTGCAGAAAGTTTTCTAATCATTTCCTCTCCTTGTTCTAGCTGCAGCGTCTGAAGCGCTCCCTGTCCCTCAAGTCCGTCATCCGCAGCAAGAGTGTGGACAACTTTTTCCAGCGCAGCAACGGTGAAGCTCGCCTACCCTCGGCCCTCATCACCGCACCGCCACCTCCACCTCCACCATCTCCTCCTCCTTTCTCTGAATCTCCCCTGGGCTACCAGCGCTCTCCCTCTCTTTCTCCCTCTATCAGTCCCAACCCTTCGCTGTCCTCACACTCCCCATCCATCAGTCCCTCACTCTCCAGAACCTCTAAGACCCAGCCAAAGTCTCAGGCCCAGCCAATCAAGACCCACTGTTTCCAGGAGCATGTCTTCCGTAGACCTACACCCTGCCAGCGATGCAAACATACAATCCAAGGTAGGCACAATACCACCTTTACATAAAGGGCCATGTGTCATTAGAGGTAAGCAGTGCTTGTGACCTAATAAGTTGATGCTTGGTTGTGTGTCGATTCAGGGAACTCCAAACAGGGTCTGCGATGCAATGCTTGTAAGCTGGCTGCACACCTTTGGTGCTCCTCTGAGCTCTCCCAGCAGGCCTGTAATGGCAAGGTAAGAGACTTCAGCTCAGACAGACTCAGGTTTCTGTCCCAACATTAAAAATAAAACATTTCATGGACAGATACAGTAAACTGATGTGTGTTTAATTAATTAGTCTAAATCTGAGCAGTTATTCGTTGTATAAGATTTCCTTACTCATCTAGCTCTTTTTCAGAATCTTTAACCCTCTGCAGGCAGGCGTTGCAGATTTGCATCGTTAAAACCTACCCACCTGGTTACTCCACATACGTATTTCATGAGAATTTTTTTTACTCAGAAGTACCCCTGAAGGACTTTGTTGTTCGTCCTTTTATCAAAACATTTACAGCCTGAGAGGGTAAAGTGACTTGACCTTAAGAGTGATGTTTTTGTTAAGACATCTTATTAGAATAAAACATTTAAATACGTTGGCTTTGTTCTCATTAACAATAATAACTTGAGTGTGTTTCGGCTGCTGCTGGTTGACTTACCGTGAACAACAAAGGTTCACATAATTAATGACATTTTTCTACTCATTGTAATTGTTTCGAAAATGTTCTGGGAGTGTGGAATGCTCCCTGGAGAAAATGAAAGTAATTCAGAATGCACTGTCAGCATAATTAAACAGCCACTGCATGCTGTAAGTGTCTTTCTGAGTCATTTGGTGGAGCGCTTATTCCTGCTAATAGTCCGAGCCTGAAAAAGAGTAAAACCTCTGGCATGTTGTTGAATGATGAGGCCTTTTTTTAAACCAGCAAACACACAACGGTATGGGTTAAAACTGGAACATGGATATGCCGTGGCTTATTGCCATGACAGAAGGAAAAAGCTGATAATGATGAAGTTCAGGTGGCTTGAGCCCAAAATTGAGTCAGCTTTTGCCCTTTCTCCTTCTCCTTCTCATGCAATGCCCTCCTCTTGTCCTCTTCCTCATCTGACTGCTACATTTCCTTCCTCCCTTCTAAACTCTGCAGGAAAATCAATATCTCCCCATAGCAGCTGGTCTGCCTAATTCTGTGTGAAATTCACTGTGTTTGAGGCGGATGAAATCCCTTGAGAATGTGACACAGCGGGCTCTTGCCGAGTCGTCAGCAGTGTCCTTTACGATCACTGCACACTCATCAATATGTGGATTAGGCATTTCACTGAATCTGGGAGGAATTCATCCAAGGTTTAGGCAGCATTTACACACATCTAGTTATTTAATTACTATGGTGAAGTGTTTAGTGTTGTTTATAGTCAGAGTGCTTCCCTCAAATACAATTAAATGTATAAACGAATGAACCTTTGGCAGCAGTTGATGTTTTAGAACAGAAATGTCAGCGACACTGCTGGAAGGGCTTTAGGGTGGATGGAGGCTTTATGCTGCAGGGAGACTGTCCATTAGCAGCAGAGTCCTAAAGGAACAGACCAAGTCAGTGTAACTAATCTGAAATTTATGAGCTCAAGCACTGTACTCTCAGTAGTTCATAACATGAAGTGTAACGCAGTATCTTCATTCTCTGAACATCATCTAAGAGTGAGACAGTTAACGTAGTGAAAGTTCATACAGTTAAATTACCATTTTCAACTTATTTTACCAATAAAACCAAATTTGGTGTTTGGGCTTTTGTTTTTTCCAACAGATACAGATAAAAGGAGACAGAAGTAGAACCACTGGGAACATTTAAGCCTACAGAGAAAATCGGATCTGTAGCATTTCAACGTTAATGAAGTTTTTTTGATTGTTTTCAGTTTGTCTTCCTATTTCAATTCAGTTTATTCATATAGCACCAAATCAAGTCGTCTCAAGGCACTTCACAGAGTAAACATTCCAATACAGTTCAGGTTTCAGGAACCCAGCAGACTGCATCGAGTTACTGACTAGTGTCAGTGTCTTTACAGCAATCCTCATACTAAGCAAGCCTGCAGTGACAGTGGAGAGGAAAACTCCCTTTTAACAGGAATAAATCTCCAGAGGATCCTCAGCCTGGCTCAGTATAAACAGCCATCCACCACAATGTGAGAGAAAAAGCTGATGTAATGAAAACATGGGTTTAATGTTCCAGCTACAGTAACGGCTAACCTGGTGTAGTCTTTAAAGTACTCGTTTATTTTACTTTTGATTTAGAGATGGGCATTTCAAAAAATAATAATATTTATATTTCCAATCCATTGACAAATCTAAAGATGAATGATGGGTTTTCATCTACTTCCACTTTGAAAAGGTGGAGCCATACTATCACGTTTACCAAATAAACACATTTTTGTGTCAGCCTTCCTTCTTCCACTGCTGGGGTCTCATTTATCAAACATTGCGTGGAATCCTTACTAAAACCGTACTTAAGCTCAGCAAAAAAAAAAAAAAGTACTTATGCCAAGTAGGTTTGTGATCTATCAACAATTGGAGTACGCACAGCTGCACGCAATCTCCGCTTCATAAATCGGAGACTAACAAGAATGTTTCTCAGCTGCATTTTAGTCACATCCCGCTCTCACCACGCCCACTTACTGCCATAAATAGTCAATGCAAAGTGCCTTGTGGACCTCATGCATATACATAAGCTGGCTGTTGCAGCGCTCCGCCAATGGCGATGGCGACCGTAGATCAAGGCAGATCAAGGAAGCACAATTTCACAGAAGCAGAAATTGAGGTACGTGTGGGTGAGGTGGAGAAATGAAAGGAAATGCTTTTGCAAAACAAATAAGAGAAAATCCACGGAGTGGCACAGCGTTGCTGAAGCCGTCAATGCTGAGTTCTTCAGAGAGATCTGTGGCGGATATAAAAAAAATGGTCCAATCAGGATTAGATCCCCAGAGTCCCGGGTGAAAGCCACGCGTGTTAACCAGTCAGCCAAATGGAGATCTCCCTTGTCTATGTAGCCAGGGCGCATAATTAATTGGGTCACAGTGACAGGACACACACTGTCACAGACGCATGATATTATATTCTGCATTCCATATTCTTGCGTTAGCAAGGTCCTTAGTCAACTTAAAATTGCGCACATTTTTCTGCTAAGTTTTCTTTCATAAATCCCAAAGTTTGCATGGAAAGTTGCTTACGTAGTTTTCCAACCCCGTTTTATGCGTAAGCAAGCTTGATAAATGAGGCCCCTGGTCATTAATTAAAAGTAAAAGCACAAACTTGAAAACGCTAATCTCGCTCAGTTGAGTTTTTACTTTTCTATGTCTATGTCTTTACTTTTTTGGGGGCTTTTTTCTGCTTGTTAGCAGAGTGCATTAATTAATTACAAAAAAATTTACAATACCTCCACAATCAAGCAGGTTAAAATTAATTTAATCAAATCAAAGTTTAAGATGTATTATAGATTTATTTGGGCAACTGGACATGCTGAGCACTGCACAAAATAATTCCCAACAGAACACACACACACACACACACACACACACACACACACACACACTCACACACTCCTGTTGGATTACATGGTCTTGGTTCAGAACAGTCACATATATTCAATTCAATTCAATTCAAGTTTATTTATATAGCGCCAAATCACGACAAGAGTCGTCTCAAGGCACTTCACATAATAAACATTCCAATTCAGGACAGTTCATTAGGCCAATCAGAAATAATTTTTCCTATATAAGGAACCCAGCAAATTGCATCAAGTCACTGACTAGTGTCAGTGACTATACAGCAATCCTCATACTAAGCAAGCATAAAGCGACAGTGGATCTGTTCTGTTTCATAATGTAACAGAAGAGTGATAATCAGTGATGCTGAGGGAAGTGGGATGCTGACTTAATGTCATTTAGTTTTAACTGGGTTTGGAAATGGCACTTCCTGGAGCGCTTTGTGGCAGAGAGATTAAAACAAGGACAATGGATGCATTATTCAGAGAAAGCATCAAGGACACCAGGGGTCTCATTTATAACTGTTGCATGGGCATGAAATGGGACCTGAAAGATGCCACTCACTCCTGTCTGCATGAGATGCCACGTCCTTAAAAGTACTTAAATGGCCTGCATTTGATATAGTGCCTTCTAGAGTCCTAGAACCCCCCAGGGCACTTTACAACACCGTCATGAGCTACAATGTAGCCACAGCTGCCCTGGGGCCCTTGCCCTGCCTCCAACATGCCGTTGGATGTGCTACTACTAGTTTACCCGTTTAACAATAGATTCACTAGGATAAATACAATAAAGTTTATCTCTCGCCAAATAGAATATTTACTAAGAAATCACAATGTAACCATAGACACATTGCTTGGTGTGTGTGTGTGTGTGTGTGTGTGTGTGTGTGTGTGTGTCTGCTCTGTCTTCTCGATCCCCAGTGAGTTATTGTGGATGGCTGCTTATACTGAGCCAGGATCCTCTGGTTTCTTCCTGTTTAAAGGGAGTTTTTCCTCTCCACTGTTGCTAAATGCTTGCTTAGTATGAGGATTGCTGTATAGTCACTGACGCTAGTCATTGACTTGATGCAATTTGCTGGGTTCCTTATATAGAAAACATTTTTTCTGATTGGCTTAATGAACTGACCTGAATTGGAATGTTTATTATGTGAAGTGCCTTGAGACGACTCTTGTCGTGATTTGGCGCTGTACAAATAAAATTGAATTGAATTGAATTGAATTGAATTGAATTGACAGAGGTGAGGCTGCTGAGCACAGGCGTCTCTCTGACCACCACCAGCAGGCGGGAGCCGGTATCGATCCTGCAACCTTCTGATTACTGGACGACCTGCTCTACTGCTGCTCGCCTTAACTTTTAGTCATTTGATCTTTTCCTGAAAATATTGACTCTGGTTCATAAAAGCATTTGTTTCATAGGACACAGAGAAGCTCATATTTGGTTTATTGTGATATCCTTGCATCCAACATAATATGAGATCTTCATGATGAGACATTTGACTGACTTTTTCTTTTAAGTATATGTCAGGTTTATTTATAAAGCACCTCTAAAGCCTTAACAGACATGAAACAGATAACAAATAAAGCTGATGAGCTATTTTTATAAACTTTTCATTTGCAGATTAAAACATGATCATGACAGTTTCATAATAGGTCTTTTATCTGTAAATCATGTAGCTAAACTTATTTTTCTTGTTAAAAAAAGAAACTTCAGTGTAAAAGACCTTTGTGGTGTTTATGTAGGTTTTCAGATGATTCCTACTTTGCCAGGTCTTCCTTTAAGAACCTTTGTACTAGTAAAGGATTGTTTAAACCACCGGTGAGTAATCGCAGTATTACTCTCTTTGGTTATGTGACTTTCATGCAACAAGATGGAAAAGTACTTAAAATGTATTATTTTTCTTGAAAGCACCTACGCAGTTTGTTTGTGCACTTCAGGTGGATAGAGGTAGGCTCGTTGCTGCCATGAGTTCATAAACCTAAAGGTTCAAATGGAAAAATGTCAGGAAATATTTGAATTTGTTGCCAGGGATGAAAGAGCATGGTAATTACTTAAAGCATGTATGACAAAAATATAAGTTTAATAACCTGCTCTTGTAACTGGGATGATGAAGTTTTACATCCTTAACTAGCCAATAAACACACACTCAACTGAACTGTTTGGTCCCTTACCGTCAAGGTCATTTACTGTTTCCTCCATCTTTTTCTGGTTTTCATTGTTTACCAGCCATGTAACCTGTTACCTGAAGCAAGAGGCTAAAGCTACACAAACACTAGCCGTTAGCATCGTCCCTGGCTGCCTGCTGTGGCTCTAGTCCAGCCACTGATTGGTCCAACACTGATGCAGCACCTAATCTGATTGGCTGTTTATCTGTTCTTTATAACAACATATTTATTTACCTGATCTCATGTTTATCGAGGAAAAGTTATTTCAAAATATATATTTATATCATTTTGTCTCCCAGCCCTAGTTTGACTTGTCATAATTTTCTTTCAGTTGCTTAGTTACGCGCCTTATAATTAAAGTTGTCCTGACAGATTTCACTGTTTACTTGATGGATGGATAAAAGATGTAAATAAAACATTCCAGTTTTGCTTCAACTTTATTACATTCTTTACATTAATAAACGAAAGCCCATATGGATTTGAATGAAATAGGAACATTTTTATTCTTACCAGGGCTTTTATTGTGAAAAATGTGCATGTGTAACAGCCTGAACTGATACAAGGTGGCTCAGAACAAATTAATTAAATGGCACAGTTGAAGCATAATAATTAGATTTGACAAAGGCTTAATCCTGCACAGCACAGTGTTCATAACAGCATGATAATTCTGTTTAAATGTAAACATCTTCTCCACTCATTGTGCCGCTCTGCTCTGCCTTTGTTGCTTATTGAAACATTTTTAATTACTCAGGTCTCATACAGGGCCACAGAGGGTTTGTGTTACTCTTACTCCTTTAGCATCTCAAGTTACATTTTCTCATCTGCTCCTTGTGTATCTATTCTGATATGTCAGACAGGAGCTTTTAAAAGAAACTTCAGCTCTCCTTTGCTGACCATTGATACGCTGGGTGCAGTCAGAGAAGTTCCTGCTGCTCAGGGTGAGTGATAGAGCAGGTTTATCTCACAAGAAAACAATAATAAAAATGATCACAACGTTTGAAGATTTAAATCACGAAGGCACAATTTGTAAAGCAGCTATGAAAATCTAACTTTTCATTTTGTTTGCCTGTACACAGAGACAGAAAAAGCCATGGTTGACCCCATCTATGAAGCTCTGCGCTACGGAACATCACTGGCGCAGATGAGTCGCTCCAGCTTCGGTAGTATCTCTGAATCCCCCTGTCACGAGGTAGAAAACGACCAGCCAGCACCAGTCATGCATAAAAAGTCAAGCCGACATTAATCTGAAATGACTTTTCTGTCTTTGTTCAAGGCAGAAAACCTGCAGGATAAACTAGAACACCAGCCTATCGCTGAGGAGGAACACATTCCAGGGAGTAGGTCAAACTTTCACATTTGTAAAATAAAATGAATAATAATAAAAATAATAAAGAATCATGACTTTCTTTGACAGATTTGAAGATTGTTTTTCTGAGGGTTGAACAACTGGAATTAATTCACTATTAGCTACTTTGTGAAGCTATATTTAAAGCTGTTATAATGAACTTACAGAGCAAGCTCGGGTTTGAACGCAAACACAGTCACGGAACACTGAAATGGTAAATGACCCGCACTTGTATTGCACCTTTCTGAGGCAGAGGACTCCAAAGCGCTTTACACTACAGTGTATCATTCATCCATTCACGCACACATTCACACCCTGGTGGTGATGAGCTTCATTGTAACCACAGCTGCCCTGGGGCACACTGACAGAAGCGAGGCTTTCCAAGCACAGGCGCCACCAATCTCTCCAACCACCATCAGCAGGCAGGGTGGGTGAGGTGTCTCTCCCAAGGACACAACAGCAGAATTCTCTTGTGGGAGCCAGGGTCGAACCTGCCACCTTCCGATTGCCCGACAACTCGCGCTCCCTCCTGAGCTACTGCTCCCATCCACTCGGGTATCTTCCTTGGATCCGCATCCACTGGAACTGGATACCTCATTTCCAGAGGAAAGGCGATAGAGCCAAACACCAGTCACAAGTTTTTTAGGACCAAACATCTTTTCGTGTCCGTGACTTGAAATGGTGTTTTTCTTTTTGGGAGTCAGAGAAGCTGAAAGCCGACACGCTGGACAAACCTAACCGAGCGTAAAACAACGACACGTGTTGGAGAAAAATACGTTCTTATAATGGGACTGAAAAAATCCCTGACAGCCGAGGAAGGGGATGATATTAAGAAGTCGCTGGACTTTTTGTCGGAGGAGATGACAGCTGTCAAACTGCAACAGAAAGCCATCCTGAACCTGGTAGAGGAGGTTAAAGCTCTCCGCATCCAAAACGCTGAAAAAGATCGGAGTTTGGCGTTCCTGGAGAGCAGGGTAGCTGACTTGGAGCAGTGCGCCAGGATCAACGATGTGATCATCACCGGGCTTCACGTCAAACCCCGGTCATACGCTCAGGCGGTGACCACTGACAAGGGGGAGGATCCCGGCACGGAGTCCGCCAGCTCCATGGAAGAACAGGTTGTCTCCTTCCTCAAATCCAAAGGTATCCTGGTGGACGGTAATAATATCGAGGCCTGCCATCCTCTTGCCCGGAAAAATGAAGCAAATCAATCTGCCGTCATATTGAGATTCGTCAACAGAAAGCACAAAACAGAGCTGATTAAACAAGGGAGGAAGCTGAAAGGAACGAACGTCTACATCAACGAACATCTGACCAAACAAAACGCCGACATCGTCAGGAAAGCCAGATTTTTGAGGAAACAAGGAAAAATTCAAAACACATGGACCACAAATTGTAAAATATTAGTCAAACTTAACGGATCTCCTGAACAAGCTAAAGTGCTGCTCATCAGATCTCTGGAGGAGCTGGAGAAGTACTGAGATTGAAGGTATGGACACACAACACTCCACATGGACCAGACCGACACAACTGATTCATCTACATCATCTGACAACATCACTCAGCTACTTTCTGCTCATGGTGACCTGGACCTTAAACCATTCCAGTATACAGCCCATAACGTGCTGGACCAGTGGCAGGACATAGACCCAGACAATAACTTCTTCTCCAGCATCAACAACAGCTGCTGCTACTACAGTGATGAAAAGTTCAACACCATCAACATGGACAATAAATTATCAGTAATCCATTTTAATAGCAGAAGTTTATATGCAAATTTTCAGAACATTAAGGATTATTTAGATCACTTTTCTAATCCCTTCAAAATTATTGCATCTGAGACATGGATCACGGAAGAGAAGGGAATGAACTTTGACCTAGAGGGATATGAAGCTAACTTTGTTAACAGAAAGAATAAGACTGGAGGGGGAGTTGCTGTATATGTGGACCAAACTTTAAATTGCCATGTGGTAGAAAATATGACAACTGCAACTGACAACTTATTGGAATGTCTAACAATAGAAATTTATAAAGAAAACCATAAAAACAGTTAAATCAGTTGTATCTACAGAGCACCAGGATCTGACATTCACCAATTATAAATCAATTAATCATCTCAATATTAAATAAAGTCAAACACATTCTGGACCAAAAGTCACTCCACATTCTATACTGTTCACTTATTTCCACATATTTAAATTACTGTACAGAGGTTTGGGGAAACACCTATAAATGTGCATTATCATCATTATCTGTGTTACAAAAAAGGGCTATAAGGATCATTCATAACACTGGTTACACTGGTTACAGAGATCATACAACTCCTTATTTTTAAAATCACAAATCTCAAAATTTCCAGAGATAGTTCAGTTCAAAACAGCACAGCTAATGTATAAAGTAAACAATAAACTACTTCCAGACAACATATTAAAACTGTTTCATAAAAGGGAGGGGGGGGGGGTATCAGTTAAGAGGGGGGTTAAAATTCAAACATGCTCGAGTCCGAACAACAGTAAAAACTTTTAGTGTGTCTGTGTGTGGAGTGAAACTGTGGAACAGAATGAGTGATGAATTGAAGCAATGTCCAAACATGATGCTGTTTAAAAAAGCTTCAACTCATGATGTTTACCAAATACAAGGAAGAAGGTCCAAAAGTGTGTGCCTAAACACAAAATGTTTGTATTTATGATATGATCTTGATAAACCATGTGCCATTTCTGTGAATATGTTGCAAAGTAATTTGCCAAAAAACTACTAGACAACATTAAATGACTATTAGTTATTTGATGTTGAGAAAGGGGTGGGATTAAATAAGCTGATGCTTCTTCCTACTCCCTTTTGAGCATGTGTAAAAAAAATAAAAATAAAAAAACCGAGAAGGAGAAATTACTTATGTTGTGTGTATTACTTTGTGTATGTACGCATGTTCAAAATAAAGACAAAGACTGGTAGTTTGTCCTAAAGTAGAAGTGGTAGCAGTCGGCTGTTTCTCCTCTGATATTACTGAGTGGGAGAACCTCTCAGTTCAATCAGTGGGTACCAACCTATCAGTGGTGTTCTGTTGCTAAATACACGAGTGTGTGAAGACTGGAGAACCCAGGGAAGTGCGCTGGTTTGGCAAGATCGACAACCGGATGGTCCAATAGTTGCTTTAGTCTGAAACGTGTTATTGGCAGAGGTTTTTAGGCAAATGCGAGAGAACCACTGTAATATTTTTTATTATTTGTTTGTTTTTGGTTTTGTCAGTAATCTCCATAATACATTTGTTTACATTTATAGGTAACGTTTGAAGCTAATTGTTTTCCAAATTTGCCATTGAAGCTGTTAGAAAAAACAAATGCAGATTGCTCTTTTTACACAGCTTTTAGTCAGAGTGATTAGACTTTTTCATCCTTTTGAGATCACCTACACGAATGATTCCTGTGCCGTTGGGTCTCTTGATATTACTGTGATGCTGCTAAACAAATAGTTCCTTGTGATGTAAGCTTACACCAAAATAGAGGTTATGCAGGCATACGTGATTTTCTCACATTTTAAAACTAAATGTCAAAAACAGAGAGTAACAGTTGCGGAAATTCTTTAACCTTCACACCCAAAAAAATCTAAAGATTTTTCTCTTTGCATAGAGAACAGTACCGTATATATAATATAATATGATATCAGATAAGAATAATAATATAAAAATTATAATATGTATAAAAGTGTGTGTGTTTGTGTGTGTGTGTGTGTGTGTGTGTGTGTGTGTGTGTGTGTGTGTGTGTGTGTGTGTGTGTGTGTGTGTGCGTGTGCGTGTGCGTGTGCGTGTGTGCGTGCGTGCGTGTGCGTGTGTGTGTGTGTGTGTGCTGTAATACCAGGAGAACGTTTGCTCTGCCTCCACTTCTCTTTACTACGACTTGGTCTCCCACTTTGTCTCCTTTCTACCAATTCTGCCTTTTTCGGGATCCCGTCGTTTTCTTTCTTCGTTCTCATTTTTTTTACACATTTTTTTTTTCAATTTTCCCCATTTGTTATTATGTTATTTTAAAAAAACTTTTTATTATATATTTTTTTCCTTGTGAAGCGCCTCGAGATTTTTATCTTGACAGGCACTATATAGAAACGTGTTGCTTCTTCTTTCCTTGTTTTTTCCCTCTCACTCTGTTGTCAGCCTCTTTTTCATACGTGACCTTTATTTGTCTTGTTCATTAGTGTTTGTGTCTCTGCAGTGCTCACCCCACCTGAAAGTGAGAAGGCTGATTCAGAAGAAAGGGTCAGCCTGAAGGTGTGTTTTCAGCATTCTCTGATTTTACTCTTTTTACTTCCAGCATCTTTTTGTTGGACTAAACGCTGTCAATTCATCTTAGACTTGATTTTCTCATTTCTAGACTCCCACATGATGAACTGTCTTTTTAATCTCTTCTACTGTTTCTTTGCAGACTCCCAAGCGAGCAGCGGTTCACTCCATTCACACCTACGTGGCCCTCTACAAGTTCCTACCTCAGGAGAAGAACGACCTGGAACTACAGTTAGTCAGGCTGTTCCGTGTACAGTATTTAGTGTGTTTTTATGTGAATTACAGTAGCCAGGTGGAGAAGGGCGTTCATACACCATCTGCTTCCTCAGCGGGATCATAGCAGGGGTTCAGACTGGAAAGGAGGGGTCGTACTGGGAGGACGTGGAGGACAAACAGCTGCACTGAGAGCGTGTCAGAAAACTAGTTTTTGTCTGTCAGCAGGTACAACTAACTGCTGAGTGTTACAACACTAATAATCTGGGAAGGATGGAACAGTGCAGTCTCATAAGACATGAGCATTTCTCTGGGATGTTTGCAGCGATTCATGTAAAACAAAACATGAAATGAAGTGGTTTGTGGCATTAGTGAATGAAACATGTGTTCATACTGGATTGCTTCTTATTGAATTAAAGATCAGATTTTAGGAAGAAGGCACTTTTTCCTAAAGGGAGAAGGTAGCATGCATCAGATATGTAAAATCTGCAGTTTAAGATAAAGGTGAGTCACCTCAACATGAACTTTGATTAATAATCTGTTTGTGTCTGCAGACCTGGTGACAGAATTCAAGTCACAGATGACTCCAATGAAGACTGGTGGAAGGTACAGTCTTCCATTCTCTCAATACTTCAGAAGCTTTACTTTCTCTTTCTACTAAATCTGGGCTTTTGTGAATAAAATATCATCACTATAAATAACCAGCAGGTCTTTGAATAGAGGCTGGTACCATGTTGGTTTGGTCTCACACAGCTGAAATTCTTAGCAAAGGCTCAGAGACCAGTACTGGAGAGTTGCTGTGTGGGTTTGAATGAAAAAGAGGACGACAGATTGGAGTTAGTTTATAATGAGACAGCTGACATTTTAAACTTCACCTGCAGAACTAAGCTGGCAGAAAAAACCACCACAGAATGTTGGTATGGGTTTTAAATACCTCTGTGTGTACTATGTAGTACTATGTAGTACTCACTACTACAAATCTCAAAACTGCTCAGAAAAGTGTGATCAAAGTTTGGAAAAACAAAAGCAGAAACTTAAACATACAGATAATTGTTGTGCAGTGATTTATTTTCCTCAACAAAGAATAAAATCTGTATTTAAATTAATTTAATCCTGTTTTCTTACTGAAGGATAATATTCACGCATTTGATATTGCTGACATGCACGCGCGCGTGTGTGTGTGTGTGTGTGTGTGTGTGTGTGTGTGTGTGTGTGTGTTTGATTACCAGGGTAAAATCAGAGACAAAGTGGGATATTTCCCAGCCAACTTTGTTCAGAGGGTTCGCCCCGGCGAGCGGGTGTGGAAGGTCATTACTGGTTTCCATGGCAACCGGGACAAAGGCCAAATGACTGTGAAAGAGAATCAGGTGAACGAGCTAAATACACATTTAATAAATTATTCATCTTGAGCAAACACACACCCTTGAGGTTTTTTTTTCTATTGTATGCAAATTCTTGCAGAAACTGATAAAACTACAGAGTACATTCAGATATGCTTTTGTGTAGCTTTTGTCCAAGTGCACACACTTTATCTCACATTCCTGAATGTTACTAGTCCTCTCTCCCCACCTTTTCTCACCATTTGACTCCTCCTCTGCAGATTTGCGTGGGGAAAAATGAGGAGACTGACGGCTTTCTTCGGCTGAGTAGCGGGAAGAAGAGAGGCCTGGTCCCTGTGAAGTATCTGTTGGAAATCTGACACCAGCACGCCTCTCCTTGACCCTCATTTTGAACAAAAGTGATGGAGAAATTCTCAGGAGTGTTCAGCCAGCACCTCACTGACAAGCAACCGCCCATCACCCCCTTTAACAGATTGCTGCAAATTGGCAGCTTGAGTGGAAGACCCCACAGTTTTGCTTTGGAATGCAAACGGTACTGATGAAGACATGAGGGAGCTTGTTTGGAGCTGCTCTTCCGGTAGCACAGCTTCTATTTGTGAGCTTTTCTCAACAGAAATGTAGCAGTTACACTGAGAAGGAGATGTGTGAAGGAACTCTGGCTACCTCACAAGGCATCTCTGCTGATCATCTGCTCACGAAGGACGAGAGACTTTATGTCAAGGCGTGTCCAAACTGTCTGTTCAGAGCAAACTGTCCTCAACTATGTGTGTGTGTGTGTGCATGTGTGAGAAGAGAAAACACAATGAAACACAAGCTGTTGGCCGTCGTTACTTTATCAAAACACTTTTTGTTTGAACAGACTTGAATGAATTTGATTTGGCCAAGTCTAAGAACTGTTTCTGTCTTGTTCTGTCTGCTGATTTCTGACAATGTGCAGGTTTGTTGCTGTAATTCAGATTCATGTATTGCTTACTTGCTATGAAATGATTCAGGTACCACATTATGTAAAATCTCAAGCTGTCTGCTCTATTTTGGTCCAACACACACACACACTAGCAGGGTTTTCTCCGGTGATTAGAAAACGGTGCGTTTGTGCTCTTCACACCTTCTAGTGACAAATACTTTGCATGCACTTAGGGGAGTTGTTGGTTTGTCCTTCAGTCAGACTCTCCCTTTATCGCTTCACTCACTGTAACTCAGAAGGTATACATCTAATTTATTTAAATGAGCCATCAGTCTCCTGTTCTACTACAACCATCCTTTATCGATATGTAATGTCCTGTTGGGTTTATGTATGTGTCCTGTTCTGGGGAGCAGAACTACTCGAGCCACGTTCAGGTTCCTTGAGAGAAATTTGGCGATTGCTGTGAAAGTTTCAGTCTCTTGAAAACAAAAATGTGAACATCTTGACTAATACGTGTGCAAAATAATAATAAGTGGCAAATGTACCTCACTGTCTTTGATTAATTGTTCTGTCATTCATAACAAGGCAATGACAGTAATGCCTCGGTAAGAACTGTAAATATGAACATGACAGTTTGTAAATAGCCTTATTAAGATCATATTTGAATGGCTCTGATAGCACTCTGACCCAGGAGGAGCCTAAAGAGGGCATTATTTAAAATATTCTCACCTGCAATAGATTATCGTCCTAGCTATCCACCGTATGTATGCATCTCTCTGCTCAGTAATCATCTCACCCTGTCAGCACAAATCTAACCCAAGACTATGCACAACAGTTCTAGTCACTCACCCTGTTAGCTTAAATCCAGTGTAGCTGTGCCTGTCTGTGTCACACGTTGCTTTTCCAAACTTTGAATTGGGACTTTGAAATTGCCAGCTGTCTTGTGTGAACTTCATGCAACACAATATTATCCTCACTGACTAGAACCAGGATTGGCTCAGGATGAGTATTACTAGTTTCACCTAATTGCACATTACTAGGCTAGTTCTTAGCATGGCTAGCTGTCCTGTGATCCTCATATACTGTATGTCAATAAACTTGGATGAACTCTCACATCATGTTTCTGATTACTTGAGAAATAAATATTGATGTGTCGTCTTTCTGACGCTGCGTGAAAAGTTGTGATGCAAAGAGCAGCTGCTTCTAGAGACGATCACAAGGTGGGATTAAAGAATGTTGTTTCCCGTTATCTGGGTTTAACACTCAAAGCCAGTATGTTCAAACTTGGAAGTTGAGAACATAAAAATGGATCACATGGATCAAGTGTCAGGAAACAACTAAATGTAAATGGGAAACACACAGCAGATAAGTAAACTTAAAAGTTTAATATAGTTTTAATTTTAAAAAGAAGTAAACCACCAAAGACACCCAGAAGGTTTATAGGTTCCTGCACTTTTTTGTTGTGTTTTATCTGTTTTTAAGACCAAACTAGCCTTCGTTGGAACAAAACAAAGATGTAGTTTCACTCATAAAACCTGAAGCATAACATTTTGATGATACCAAATGAATGATTTAAGTAATTTAAAGCTGAAAATGTTTTGATTCTAACAATCGGAGGAATTTTACAGCTAATTTCATTTATGTTTTCCAATTAAAGAAAGCTCCCTTCATGTATCAATCTTCAAGTACATGGAGCTCTTTTATTTAAAATGACAGAAAATTTACGTTGACTGTTCCCTCCTAATGACCATAAATAACCTGATTGACTCCAAAAAATGTATTCACAACAGGGGAGCTGTTGGCAGCTCATAGAAACAGGCAGAGAAAGTGCTGTGTGTGTGTGTGTGTGTGTGTGTGTGTGTGTGTGTGTGTGTGTGTGTGTGTGTGTGTGTGTGTGTGTGTGTGCGTGTGTGTGTGCGTGTGTGTGTGTGTGAGTGTGTGTGTGTGTGTGTTCATCCCTGCTGTGGTGCGAGGAACATTTCTCAAATCATGACCCAGTTCTGTTATCAAACTGGATCAAATGTGATTTTCATCTCTGTGGAGAGGCAAACAGAAACGTGTGCAACTGGCAGAACATCGAGTCAGGCTAATATTTTATAAAATTGTTGATTTTGGAGCTTGAGAATGGTTTTAGCACTCCAAAGGGGCTCTGCACTTTTTCTACATCTCAGACCTTTTTTCCCACCTCTTCAAGTGGAGAAACGCAAACTTTTTGAAATGCTCTTTCTTTCACACAAAATAGCAATAAACAAATAAATAAAAAGTTGTTTGGTTCAATCTTTCTCTTATGGTAAACGTTAAGTTTGGGACAACATACATTTAGTTTTTAGGAGCCTGACTCTGAAAAGTGTCATGCCAGCACAAGAAAGTGACATGAAATGGATTTTTAAATGTGTTTTGTGTGTGTGTGTGTGTGTGTGTGTGTGTGTGTGTGTGTGTGTGTGTGTGTGTGTGTGTGTGTGTGTGTGTGTGTGTGTGTGTGTGTGTGTGTGTGTTTTTACTTCCCCTGAAACTGAGCAGCAGCTGCAGGACCCATTATCGGCAGGATTGATGATCTCAGCTCAATAAACATGAACAGCCAGCAGAAACCCTGCAATAAATGCAAGTTCTGGAGGAAACTTACCGTCTTAGAATCATGTGATTAGAGAGCAGGTAGAGCTTTGGGAGCACTGATGGAGAGGGGAGAAAATTAGCTGCTTATAGACAAACTATGCAGACCATCACATCAAACTTCAACTAAATGTGGCAGGGTGGCGAAACAGGGGCCCGGGCGGGATTCAGTCCCCAGACTCGTGGGTGAGGGTCATGCACACTAACTAGTCAGCCAAAGAGACATCCCCTTGGCCAAGTAGCCAGGGTGCGTGATCAATCGGGATACAGTGACACTCAACCTGTCAAATAAAAATAATCCTCCAGATGTGCATTAGACAACTTTTAAGTGGCAGTGTGTAGTTTCCTGGCACTAAGGGGCAGTACACACATACATTTTATGGTAGTTTTACATCAGTGGTACTCAACTGAGGCCTGTGAGCCCCCACTTAGTGGCCACCGGACCTCCAGCTAACCCCAGCTAATGAAGTTTTCAATGTGGCCCTCAGCCACTTTTATTTGACTACCCCCGTTTTACACCATATTGCCATGACTGTTGCTAGTTTAAAAAGCATTATGGTAAATGTTGTTACCTGTGGAGCAGAAAGCTTGCGAGCTTGGCGTGACTCCTCAGACTTTGATGGTTCCAGTTAATTCCTTCGACAGAATGCCTGCCGATGACGTCATCTTACTATGGCAACACGGCTCGGCCAAAATATATTGCATATCTTTTTCGATTCTGTTCCTTTACATATGTTTTGGAAAGAGTTTAGCAGTTTTGTTATTAAATTCATGTCTCTTACTACCTAAATGTTTTCGTATATGGTAATGTAACTTCTGTAACTCTTACATACAGCCAAACAGGCGCAGGACCCCGAGCTGGCCAGAATAAAATACAGCATCCCTCAATGATGCTAGACCCGCACTCCACGTACTTTAGACCTGATTTATATGTTATTTTTCAACAACCGGGCATCATTTTCTTCATTTTCAATGAGTCAATGGATATTTCCAGAGATTACTGGTAAAAACCGCACATTGTCTGTCTTTGTAAGGTATGCTATGTGAAACTATCCTTGAGGGTGATGCCTCTAAAGAAGCACAAAAATCCTGAAATAATCTCTTAGTGTTTTCTTAGATCTGTCAAAAGGATTCGATAGAGTTGATTTTAAAATTCCTTTAACAAAATTAAAAACTGGAATAGGAAAGGTTGCTTTTAGTTGCTTCAATAGTTACCTTTCAGACAGGGAGCAATATGTTTGCAATAACAATCAAAATTAGTATATGGGGTTCCCCAGGGTTCCATTTTCAGTCCTCTTATATTTTTCAATTATATATGCACAGGGAAACATGCAAACTCCTTGCAGAGATACAAGATACAAGGCTGGGATACAAATCCAGCACCTTCTTGCCTCAAGACAACAACGCTATCCACTGTGCCCCTGAAACAATACAATGCAGCGATTTTTATCTACCTTCTTGCAGATTGTCAATTAAGCGAAATGCTCCTAAATATAGGGGGCCTTTCCTTTAGAATAAACTGCCACCAACTCTTCAACATAAAATAGCACTCCATTATTTTAAAAAGCTGTTAACATTCACGTTAATCTCGATTAGCATATATAGTAATATACATTTCTTATTTGTAAACTGTATATAATTTTGTTGTTGTTGTTCGCTTCTGCTGCTTAATTAATGTCTTCAGGGAGGTGGATTTATAAGGTCTGTGGCTTTTCTTAACCTCTTCCGCTGATGTTCTCATCAACCAGAAGATGTTTAATCACAATGCAGTGCAGCACAAATGACAGTGACAAAATTCCTCATATTCCCTGTAAAGCACAGCTCCAGAGGGGTGATGATTTAGGTTTGTTTTATGATAAATGACCTGCAAATGTCTAGCATCTGTCAGAGTCAGAGGACTCCAAAGCGCCTTATACTATGGTGTAACATTCATTCGTTCACACGCACACATTTACACACTGATGGTGATGAGCTAAGATGTAGCTACAGCTGCCCTGGGGTACATTGACAGAGGTGAGGCTGCTGATCACATGACCTGAAGTCACCTGTCTAACAGCTGTGGTGTAATGGTTCAAACTGGGTTAAAGGTGTGGTTCACTGAAAAAACTTTTTTTGATGATTATTTCTGAATATAAATGGTCACTCTGAGATTTTGATGCAGGCTGAACATGAAAATCGTCTCCTACACCTATCTCCTGCATTAGCTTCTGGTAGAAAATAGACTGTGAAACTCTAGGATTAGAAAATCTTGACAGATCTATGTTACACTGTCACTTAACATTCATGGACTCACCCATCTTGACTCATGACAGGGAAGGCTGTTGTTAGTTCAACGTCCAGGACACAGCAAAGAACGTCTCAGCTAGTAGAAGCTAACTGTTAGCATTAGCAACTTCACCACACAGCAGAACTCATCCAGGCATGTGTTATTTGTGGAGATAAAACATCAACGTTGCAGAGCAAACAGTCAGTGGTAGAGTCACGTTGCTGTTAGCAAATCAGAGGCAAGATGTCCAAATATCAAGAAATAAGACTCCAAATCCTGTTGTCTGAACCTACTTTCTTCTCAAGCTGACTCATGCTGATCCAGGCACTTGTGGGCTTTTTTTTCCCCAGAGTACGACTTACAATACCTTCATTCCTACTAGAGAACACTGAAAATGTATTGATTAAACAAGTGTTCAATACCTTTAATAAAGCAGGAGATATACCCATTTCCACAAATAATTAAAATATGTGGATAAACGTGTGTTAAGGTGATTTAGTGCGATTGTTTCTAAAGGTTGTTTTAGATGCTGTTAAATCACAGAATGTGCTCTGGCTGGGCTTGTTAAAACACTGGTTCTGCACTTTTGCTTAATGTTTGTCAAATGATTAAAGTCGCCTGTTTAATTCATTACATACTTTTTTTCATTTGTGGTCATATTTTCATTTAACCAGATAAAACAAATGAAAACATGTCCTTGGGAACAAACATGACCTGGCTGAGATGTCTCAGAGGTAGTGCAACACAAGAACATATGAGTTCTCTTTATAAAATTACTTTACCAGGATGGTTTTCTTACAGCTATTAAGCCAGTATACTAATAGTACTGAAGCTTGTACTTTTAGATGAGGTGAACATGGGGAGTAGATGTTCTTGATACCAGATGGCCGTTTCTTTGGTTATCTCAGATGTTTTTCTGAATTGAGCCCTTGACACCTTGTAAACACAACACAGTGTTCCAGTCTTGCAGATCCACTCCACCTCCACAGCTGTTCTTTGTGATTTCACTCCACCAAATCATTCTGTAACTCCACAACAATCCATCATTTAAACATAAATAATGATAAGCACCTTTGGTGTGGCTTTAATTTTAACTTTGGCATCTTGACTTCCCTGCAGAACGTAAATCTATGAGCTGAACTGTCACGTTGACAGCAGGAGGTTTGGACCCAAGATGCAGAATTTCCCAGAACGACTCGAGGCAGGAGTGGTTAAAGAAAAATAATTCCTTTATTTT